ATGTATATGAATCAAGAAAAAGCAAAAATAATGTAGGTAGTTACTTTAAAATTATTTTATTAATTTGATAAAAAGAAATATTAGAGATTTATATTTAAAAATTATTGTTAAAAATTTAATCATCAAATCGAGTTTACTATTAAAATGGATAATTACGTGAATCAAAATATAAATTAGATGTCTGACATATTTGACAGCTTATGCAGAAAGTAGATTTATATTCACACACGGGTTGAAAGTAATTTATCCACACGCGTGTGATATAGAGCACTTTTTATAAGAGTAAATAGTGCGATAGGTGTCACTTTCCTAAGTGGTCGCAGGAAAAATACTTTTTAATTAGATGGGCCATATTAAAAACTATATATTTGATAACTATACAGGAAAGTTATATGTTGGAGTAAATAAAGTTAACTTCCACTAAAATCGTGATAGATTTATTAAATTTGAGGATACCTTGCCAAATAATATAACATTAGCCCAGAGTTATTAACATAATTTTTGGCAATAAATTAAAGAACAATATATTGGTTATTTTTATGTATGTGTTTTTATTGGACGATGTCGCTTCTAAAATCCTAGGAGGATCCAGACATTTTAAATTTTTAAACATATTATCGTAGTTCAACCCCTATTCAAATTAAAAATTGATAATAAAAATAATAGGTACAGGTATTTCTTTTTCTTATGAAGGACAAAATAAAAGAAAATAAAAAACTTTTTTAAACTGTAGCAAAAAAAAACATTTCTGAAAATAGATACCCTAGTATAGTAAATTAAAAATCTGTATCGGAAAAGTAAACATCGATATCATCAGCGGATTTATTTTTTCTTGTTCCATACAGGTTGGGTGTGTCGTAGATTTTATTATTTGTGTGGATTCGAAGCTTACGCATTTTTTTTTCAAGTTGCGTTGACTGAGATGCCGACGTCTATACAGGTAGGTATATATTAGTAAGTATTAATTAAATTATTAGAAGAAATCATTTGAAAGATGTGAAATTATTGTACATTTTGATCTTATCTATACATGTACAATCGTACATTGTAAAAAATCCCAAAATTATCGTATATAACGATAATGATCGTAAATGTGGCAACACTACGTAACAACGCTATGCTACTCTCTTTAAAATTTAAAAGGTGTAATTTATTTGATAATTTTGAACCTAATATTTATACAATGTTGCCAAATATAGTTAATAAAATTACTCCACTATACCAGAATAACAATGACAAATATTAATAAAAATTATTATAATATAGCGAAAATTTGATAAGGGTTATAACTACCTACCAATGTTTTATTGTATATACAAATATGCTTATAGGCACCTATATGTATCTAAATGTACCTATATGTACCTATATGTTATTTTACTAAAGTTGAAAGAGAACTTGTAAAATGTTATTTTAATCTTATATATTTTAAACTACACTAAAGTAAAAAGATACGATAAATATTAAATAGAAAATTTGCATTCTCTAACCATGCATAACTCATTATGTATTCTAAATTATAATTTTGATTATTCAAGAATTTTCTTCGCTTCTGACAACAGTGTTGAAAACTATTATATGCTATTTTTAAAGTGCTTGCTGATTCTGAATTCCGAGTCACTTTCACGGTTCTCAGCTGCTGGACTCGGCCTTTACGGTAGTGAACAGAATAGAGGTGGCAAAAATTTTATCTGAACTATACAATTTTTGAGTTAAATGGTAAATTTATATTGTTTATTATTTATCGATCCAAAAGTGATACAGAATACACATTTTGGCCAAAAACGGACAAACCGAAAAATTAATCAGTATTAAAAAAAAAATAATCGTTGGATGCAGCTCACTTTAAAATTAACTAAATTGGGCTTAGGTAAATTATAACTGCATAAATTGGAATGGCCATCTTTATTTTTTAAAGGAACCCATTTTTAAAAATAATTTCTGAAAATATTATCGTTCAGAGCAGTATTTTTTGTGATAAAAAAATCGCCGTCACCTGTCATTGGTAACAAAAAATACAGCTCTGAACGACAATATTTTCGGAAATTGTTTTTAAAAAGGGTTCAGAGTACCTAACCTAACCTTTGCCCTAGGTCAGGAAGAATAAATGAAAACTAAATAATTTATAGTAATAAAGATTGAAAATATATAAACTTTTAAGAGTTTTTTTTATGTCAGCCATAGTTTTATACCAAAAATGAAAATAAACAAATACATTAATACATTCATACATTTATTATATTTATAACATTCATAGACTCTTTCCTGCCTAAAATAATACTTATCGTCGCCTTCAGGAGAAAACTGACGAAATTTTACAGGAGATATAAAAATATTTTTAAAGTCAAATTTTTAAACATTTGTACGTATTATTTGTGTTGATTTATTAAAAAATAATGTGTCTATATCTCCTGTAAAATTTCGTCAGATGGAGTTACGCATTTTTCTCCTGAAGGCGACGATAAGTAATATTTTAGGCAGGAGAGAGTCGATTAATGTTATAAATATAATAAATGTTATCTATCTATTCAGCTCTATTCCATTTATTTTTTGACGTCAGCCTTTTTCTGACACTTCCGTTCGTTCTTATTCAGTGTAGTATGTATAGTTTTCAGAATATCAAGGATATACCTGTGATGATGGGTCCTGCAATGTTCATTTCCAGTACACCTGCTTATCTGACATCTATCTTGATTAAATTTCCGTTTCTTGCCTATTACTCTTATACTTAACCAGAAGTTGCTTATCCTCGCCTGCAAATGTCTAAATCGGCCAAAACACAGCCAAATATCTATTTTACCCCTGGCTTCATTACAATGATCGATGGTTTAATACAAAAAACTCAAGTAAAGTGTAAAGTATTACACTTTACTACTACTGTCCAGTATACTCGTTTACACTTTAGCATTAGCCTATATTATTTTTAATTGAAGACATATACATTTAAAAATGTCGTTTACTTATAAATAAAAATTTTATTTTGATATTGTATTTAACTCAATCAAAACATTTTAATTATTATTTTCCATTTATATAGTTTATACAGGACCTGCATGTAGTCTAGGAGCTGACAGTGTTGCCGTCAGTTTCCGCCACATATTTATTAATGACATACGTTTTATTAAATTCATCGTGTTACATATTTGTTGATATAAAGAGATGGAAATTTAAAGTGAGGTCTTTTATTACTTCGAATGAAAAATCGATAATGCAAGTTTCCTAACCTAAAAAAATCGTGATTATATGTCAAACAAAATTGAGTTGGGCCTAAAGCTGGATTTATAATTTGACGGACTGTAAACGTAGACGCAGTGCATACGTAACAAACGGACTGTAAAATAATATTTAATTTATAAATCAACGGAACGGAAATTTTGCGCATGGGTAGAGGTGATAGAGTGACATTTACATAACCTACAAATATGTTTATATTATAATATGCTAATTTCTAAATATTCATTTTTCGTTTGTACAAAGTATATATAGTGATTTGAATCGTGCCCCGTGTCACAATGGATTATGAAATACATGAAGGTATGCTTCTTGGTGCCGTGGGACTGCTGTTGTGTGCAGTAGTATTGGAAAAATGTCGACAAAATAGAAGAATAATAGTTAGGCGACCAAGACGTTATAAAACAAGACCCATAAACCGTAACAGAAAAGTAGAGAATGTCTACAATTATTTTTTAAAGATGAAGACTGCCGATCCAGATCAATTTTTCAAGTATACGCGAATGACTGTTCCAGTATATAACGAATTATTAGGTCTTGTAAAAAACAGAATTTCTAAGAGACGAATAAAAGACGGGATATCAGAAGCAGAAAGGCTTGCCATAACATTGCAGTAAGTAATTTATCAGATAATAATTACTCTCATAAATTATTTGACAGAAAACTTTCTTGAACAGATACCTATCACAAGGAGGAAGCATGCAAAGTTTGGCATGGAATTATCAAATGGGCTTAACAACAGTTCACAAAATTATACATGAAACTTGTAAGGCAATATGGTATGCACTTTCTCCGAATTATCTAAAAAGTCCTTCGACTGAATGTGAATGGAAGAGTATTGCAAAGAACTTTTTTGATTTCTGGAATTTTCCCAATTGCATAGGCGCTTTAGATGGGAAACATATAAACATACAAGCTCCTCCAAAAAGTGGGTCCCTTTTCTTCAATTACAAAAAAACATTTAGTATCGTATTGATGGCAGCGTGTGATGCCAAATATGTGTTTACTTTGGTAGATATTGGGGCCTACGGATCCCAAAGTGATGAGGGTATCTTTAGACATAGTGTGTTTGGTGAGCGTCTTGAATCAAAAACATTAAATGTTCCTTTGCCTACTGAAATTCCCAACACCAATATTAAATTTCCTTATGTGTTCGTTGCTGATGAAGCTTTTCCTCTAAAAGAATACATAATGCGTCTATATGCAAAAACAAACTTGACGCTGAAACAGCAGATATTTAATTATAGACTTTCGAGGGCCCGCAGAATTATTGAAAACACCTTTGGAATTTTAGTGGCCAGATGGAGAATTCTCAAGCAAATCATTATTGCCGATGTAAATAATGTGGACAATATTGTAAAAGCATGTGTGGTTGTCCATAATTTTTGCATATTCCAAACTGAAGGAAAGACCGATGTCATTCATTATTGCCCTCCAGGGTATGTAGATTGTGGAGATGAAGAAAATGGTATATGGCGGAAAGAAGACGATGAACCCCTACAGTCAGTTGGACGTTTATCAGCCAACAATGCTAGTCGAATAAATATTAAAACAAGAAATACCATGACAGATTATTTTGTGTCTCCTCAAGGAGAAGTTTCGTGGCAATTAGACAGGGTATTGAGAGGAAAAGAACCCCAACACTAATTATATTTTTGTTATATATGTAATTATGAGAGATAACTTATAATTATTGTAAATTTAATTTAAATAATTTTACTATCAAATAAAAATGAAACAAACATGTAGTTCTGTGTTATTTATAAGTCATTAAGTCATAATACAAAAACTATTAAATTGAAAATAATTAATCATCATCTTCTAAAACCTGTAATAGTCTTTGCCTTTTAATTTTCTGTTGCCCAGGAGTCATTTCTTTTAAAATGCTAGCAATATATTTACCCAAAATATCTGCTGACGTTTTCGGCTGTTGCTTCTTTTGGGAAAAATTATTTAATTGTTCGGTGATGGATTTGGCAGCATCAACAATCCCTTTAGATGTGTCAGGTTCAGTTGCATATTTTTTCATTTTATTCTTTCCTATAATAAAAATATTATATTAAGTGCAATTAGCATGAAAATGTGTATTGTTTACCAAATTTGTATTTTTGGCAAGTCTCACCTTTACTAGCAAGCTGCACCGTTCCGGGATTTGAAGTGGGTGTCTTTTCAATTTCAATGAATATATTTTCCTCGCACATTGACTCTTCTTGAGAATAATGTACATCATTTTCTTTATTCGACTCTTGAGATAGCATATAATCCTGTTTGGGAGATTCTATAGGGCTATCTATCATTGTAGAATTTGACCATTCATTGGAGCACCTACTTTGACTATCAATAAAATTGGGTGACTGCAAAGGTGGATCATATTGATGTAGGGTAGTCATGGACTTATTTTTTGCTACTGGTGTTGTTGTATGTGTACTAAAAAGTTTATAGTTTAACAGTATTAATTATTATTACCCTCTTTGTTTAATACTATACTCACTTTCTGGGCTTAATGTATGCATTTAGAAAAGACATTGCCTGCAAATACTCCCATTGTGGAGTAACAGGAGCTCCGGAACCAGAAGGCAATGCTTTCTTTTCCCTTCCATATTTATTCCGCAAACTTAACCAAATTCTCTGGCAATTTTTCACTAAAAAACAAATGCAAAGAACATTTACCATCAGTGTTTACTTCAATTTATTTATACAAAATAATAATACCGGTCATTTCTAGTTCTTCAGAAATTTGTTTCCAACTATTTTCTCTCAAGTGTTGGTCTTTAAAATGCTTACTGGACTTATCGTATAAGTACGGATAACCCTGAATCAGGCTAATTAATAACTCATATTTTTCTGAAATAATCAAATTAGTACACTAGAAACTTTTTTAAACTATTAGTGTGGATTTATGCAGCACCCTTTAAATGTTAAATGGTATTGCAGTTATCCACGCTTTTACTTACCGTTCATTTTTTATCAAATAATTTACAAAAGACAAATAGGGAATAACCAAAATAACAAACAACTTTACTAAACGGACAAGTGACAGCTGACATCACACATAATTTTTCTTTTGATTGGCCGGACGTAAGAAACGCACTGTAAAAAGATGAAAGTTGGCCAACTCTTCCGTTCCAGTCCGTTTCACTCACGTTACGTCATGCGTTTACGTTCATTTATAAACAAGAGTACATAAATTCTAAGGATGTTCTTTTTGCAGTGCGTCTACGTTTATAGTCCGTCGAACTATAAATCCGGCTTTAATCTTAAACGTCTGAAAAATGGTGGTTAATCGATTGTAGTTTCTGGTGAAGGGACGCATCCACCAGAATTTACAATCGTACCATCTGAACAAATAGGGTGTTTTTTGCTGATCAGTTTCTTTATAGCGAAAGATTGATGTGTAAAGATAAACTGTCAAAATAAATTAGAAGTGTTTAATATAAATCACTGTAGTGCACCGCACGACCTTGCCCATATGGACGGTCCCTGCCTAATTTTAAATCTTGTGCATATCTTATTTCCTCTAAAACAATATCATTATTTTTATTAATGTTGCCTATTACATAATAAAAAGTCTGCGTTCCTGTGATGCCCTTTAATTTTTTTTTTTTTTGTAAAATCGAATGAACCTTATGACGTATTCAGCTTGAAGTTCTAATAGTTTCAAGTCGCATATCCAAGTAATTGTTTGCAATTTAAAGCCGATAGCGCGATTTATTGAAAGGGTCTCTTAAAAACAAAAATGGCTGCCATTACTTAAAATTGCAACTTCAGTTAAAATATTGGTGTGAAAAAGAGTATAGAGAATAGGGATCGAGGTTTTCAGTGATATGTAGTTCCCAGGAAAACGAAGAAATATTGATATGGGCAAAGCGCTACAGCATGCTTTAGTTTTAGTTTCTGAAGGGGAAATCTATTTTATCATTATCGAAAATGTATAGACGGTACATTCATAAAAATACAGCATTGACTCTTCGATTTATTTTTTTAAATATTGGATGACCTCGTTAAAAAGAAATACATATTATTAAATAAGAAATAGATATATTGATAACCTCTGATAACAATAGTGTAGGTAATTAAAATATTTTAATTTCAGTTCAGTTTTTTAAAAATTCATTTAGCACTGTACAGGGTTTTTCATTATATTTTGACCACTACGTATTTTCATAATTCTTGTGAACTCAAAAAAAGTTTTAAGTAAAAGCTTTGTTGTTTTACCTCAACTTTTTCGACCACAGTAAAACCCATTACAAGCAATCAATTGACAACTTTTAATAAACAAACAACTGTTTCACTTGGAAACATGATTTTCATAGCTATCTATGTGTTATGCTTTTATAGTGCAATAAGTCACTATATAATTAAAATATTATATATTTGTTATCAGGAAACGCAAGTCTACTTAAAATGGCAAAAATATAAAGGGTGTCCCATTAAAAAATTAAATTATATTTTGTTGGAGTCGTCCTGTATATACAATTCAGCCTGTTATTACATTTTTAGTCGGTACAGATAGAACAACATAGCTTTTACTTAAAACTTTTTTTTGTGTTTGCAATAATAATGAAAATAAATAGCGGTCAAATTATAATGAAAAACCCTGACGTGGAGACTTTACGTTTTAGAAGTAATAGTATTTATTTTATAATAAGTTATTTTTAATTGGTTTTAATCGTATGCTACAAAATCGAAATTTTGAAATAAAAACGTAACATGGGTGAAGCAGCTATAAAAAAAATAATTGAAGGATCTCTGAAAAAAGTTATAGAAGAAATCCACTGCACTAAAAAAGAGCTGAAAAATTCTATAGATTCGAGTAAAACTAGACTTTTAATGAAATTGGAAGAAAATAATAATAAAATAAAATTACTGCAATCTGAGAATCAAGAGCTCAAAAATAAAGTAGAATATTTGGATCGAGCAAATAGAAATAAAAATATTGTCATATTTGGATTAAATAAGCCACCCAAAGCCATCTGTGTCAATTTTATTATCCAAATAATTTTTGACCTAATCGGTGTTCATATAAAGGAAGACCAAATCAGTATCTTTTTCTTATTAGGAAAGACTAATTCTACTTTTGACTTCTTTTATCAAGAAACGGGAAATTTTTGAAAACAAAAACAAGCTAAAAGGAACTAATTACTCCATATCTGAGGATCTAACGCAAAGCCAACGTGAAGATTATAAAAACCTAAAAACTCAGTTAATAAATTTAAAAAAAAGTGGAAAGTACAACAATTGTTACATTAAAGGAACTCATCTAATACTGGATGGAGAAAAATATACAGTTGAAGAACTTACATTTATCGACGGAAAAGCTCCCAATAGTGCGCCGCCAACTCCTACTCTACAAGGTAAATTTAGTCCAGAACAAACTGTGGTTCCACTGGTTGAAAGAAGCAAAGAAACCTCAAAACCTACTAAATTCAATAAAGGAACAAAAACATCAAAAATCGCAGCTACCAACGAAAAATCTGATAGGACAACACGATTTGGCTCCACCTCTTCTAATCGTTAATGTAATTAAATTTTTTTAATTTATTATTAAAAACAAAATTCGTAGCTATTAATAATTTGGGTAAGCATTTTAAATCTTAAATATTTACTTTTATAATTATATTTGGAAAAATAATTAAAATGGATCAATATATTAGAGATTTTCACTACACTGACTTTCAAACAGCAGAAATTAGTAATGACAAAGGTATTGAAAAATAGCACCACCAAATTTTTCAATTTTTCAAGCGAACATAAGAAGCATCAATAAAAATTTTAATGAAATGGTTACCTTCTTACAAAAATTACATCTTACATTGGATATAATAATTTTTACAGAAACGTGGAAGGTGTCAAATTTAAATTTTTTTCAAATACCTGGATATTTAATACAATATAATAATGGTAGTCACAATCAAAATGATGGAGTAATAATATATGTTAAAAAACATCTTATATTTACTAGCGAAATTAAAGAGTTAGGCGAGTTTAAAGTACTTAGGGTAATAATCGAAGGTGTTAAAAAAAATCTTATTATAGACGCATTTTACCGATCTCCAAGTAGTTGTCCGTACGACTTCAATAGAAATCTTTATAATTTTTTAAATAGTCATTGTACATGCGATAATAATAACTACATATTCGCAGGAGATATAAATATTGATTTAAAATCTGATATTGATTATACATTCATGAATATTTAAATATATTAGCAGAATTTGGATACAGTAGTCTTATTAATACATACACAAGGGTACAAAATAATTCAAAAACAATATTAGACCATGTTTTTATTAAAGATACTCAAGATAACATGTATTGTAAATCATTTGTTCTTCAGTATAATATCACGGACCATTGTCCAAATATCGTCGCAATCTCAAACCATAACATAAAAAAATAGGAAATACCTGAAAATAAAATAAAAATAGTTAACGAAAAAAAATTATTACAAAAAATAAAAAATATTAACTGGCAGTCAATGTACGTTAATGATGACGTAAATGCTATGGCTGATTATTTTGTCAATAAAATTAAAAAAATAATTTCTGATTCCATAACTTTCAAAAAACTTACTTATTCCAAAAGAAAGCGAAATCCGTGGATCACGAAAGGGTTAATGAAATCGGTAAGTATAAAACAAAAAATGTATAAACGGATTTTGCTAAATCCTAATGATAGATTTTTTCAAAATGAATATAAAATGTACAAAAATAACTTAACAAATTTATTAAAAATTTCAAAAGAAAATTACTACAAGAAACAAATAGCAACAAATAAAAATAATTCTAAACACCTATGGCATACAATAAAAGAAATCACTGGAAAATCAAAATCATCAGTTAATATTACAAGTATAGCCCATGATAACACAATAGTAACTGATAAAAAAGAGTTGGCTAACTTGTTTAATTATCATTACGCAAATATAGGAAAAAAAATGGCCGACCAAATTATTGAACCAAAGAACCCAATTGTTTTTTTTTTTAATTTGGTGTCATCGGCGTCGACTACTACGGCCATTAGCCTCGTGTTCTGTGTAGGCTTTGTTACTGTTTCCCAGCGCCACTTTAGGAACAGCACTGTTAATTAGAACCCAACAGTGAATGGTCGAGTGGGGAATCCTACCAAGGCATCAGAATTAATTTTAAATAATTAAATTAAATAAAAAAATCCCGGCCAACGGTGGGATTCGATCCTGAGACCTTCCGATCTCAAAGTCATGACTCTAACCACTGAGCCAACCCACCCCCTGAACCCAATTGTTAAAAAAGATTTTGTTAATGTTTCAATTTTTCTTAAACCAACCAATCCCACTGAAGTGACTAACTTGATAAGAGATTTAAAGAATCATAAATGTCCTGGAATAGATGGAGTAACATCCGAACATTTAAAACTCTTATGTGAATAAGTAAAAGAACCACTAGTTTATTTAATAAATAAAATAATTGAACATGGCATTTTCCCGGATATACTTAAAACGGCAATAATCAAACCATTGTTTAAAAAGGGTGACAAAAAAGAAATGACTAATTATAGGCCTATATCTTTAATTAGTACGATAGCAAAAATTCTAGAAAAGGTTATTAAAACTCGCCTAGTAGACTTCCTAGAAAAAAATAATTTATTGTCTAAAAATCAGTTTGGGTTTAGATCACAAAAATCTACAGAGGATGCTATTGTCTACTTGACAAATAATATCTATAAACTTATGGATGAAGGTAAGTATGTAATAGGTATATTTTTGGACTTAGCCAAAGCCTTCGATACTGTCAATCATAATAAATTGATTGACTGTATGGAGGGTCTAGGAATAAGAGGAATAGCTCTGGCTCTATTTAAATCGTACTTAAATAATAGAATACAATTTGTGCAAATTGAAAGCGAGCTGAGTCAGGGACAACAAGTTATGACTGGAGTACCTCAAGGGACAGTTCTTGGTCCAGTCTTATTCTTAATATATATTAATTGCGTTACTTACACATGGTTTCAATGCAAATATCTCATCATTTGCAGATGATACTGTTATTCTCTTTTCTGGTAATTCCTGGTCCGAGGTTAAGCAATTAGCTGAACACGACCTAAAAAATATAAAAAGATGGTTCGATGAAATGACTCTTACATTAAATTTAGATAAAACTAAATTCTTAACATTCTCCTGTAACAAAAGTAATTGTTCAAATTTTCAATACTTATCTATAACGTATACCATCGAAAATGTTAAATCAATTACTTATCTCGGTATTGAAATCGATCAGCACCTCAAATGGGATATACATGTAAACAAAATTATAAAAAAATTAAGATCAATACTATTTACTTTTAAAAAAATGAAAAATATTCTTCAAACTAACGAACTAAAAGTTTTATATCATGCACTGGTTGAATCCCATCTACAGTATGGTATTTCGGGCATCTATGCGTGTCACTCAAAAAATTTGGGAGTTATTCAAAAGTTTTTCTTAAAAATAATATATAATAGAAATAAAACTTATCCGACAGAAAATCTTTTTCAAGAAACTAGTATATTTAGCTTACGAAAATTATATTTTTATAGAATGATGTGTCTTCAACAAAAGAATAAGCAACATTTAAAATCAATCTCCCACATTCATAATACAAGGCACAAAAAAAAGTCAGAATTTGAAACCGCAAGAGCCACAAAATCAATTGGTCAAAAAGCATTTTACTTTATTGCACCACGTATTTTCTCAAAAATTCCTCATTTTATTAAAGTTTTAAATTATTTTTACTATAAAAAAAAATTAAAAATTTGGTTTCAACAACTATCAGAAAATGATATTCAAAATATGTATACAATTTCTAAGTAAAGATTCAATCTAATTCCTTTTGATATTTTTTGTAAATATTTATGGATTGGAAAAAAATATTTGTGATTTAATTTTTTATTATCTGTTTTGTGTGTTTCCGAAAACTATTAAATTTTGAAAACATGAATTAATTAAATAATTGTAGTGATACTTTTTAATTTTGGTACTTATGTGACAATAGTTGTTTTGTAAGTTATCTATATATTCTTATGATAAAATGTTACTTAACAAATTTGTTTAAATAACAACAGAATATTTATCCCCACAACAAGTTCGCTTCGTGGGTAGTATATTTTGTTTGTTTATTTTTTTAATATTTTATATCTAAAATTATTAAACTATATATTGTATTATATTCAAAAAAAATTTTAATGGGGCATGTTCAAAAATTTTGAAATTTTTTTTATGAATAGTAGAGTTAAAAATAAAACTACATTTTTTTTATTTTTTTTTATCTATTCATTTGCCGGAGTTATGAATTTTTTTAAAATTTATGACGTCACCGGGAATAGACCAATAGGAGCTAGCGCACAACGTTGCCGGCTAGAAGGTTTACGAGAAGTGATGTACGTTCGTTTGTGTACTCCTTCTTACTTTTAGACTTCTAAAACATCGTTAAACAAATATCTTGTAAATATATAATATCAAATGTTTTTTGAAAGTATTATTTCTGTTTAAACTTTTACCATATTTAAAGTTTCATTGTTTTAAAAGTCACTTAATAATTCAGAAAATGGCAAAATGGCAGCACTGTGTATGGCATCTGTCATCACAGTGTCTCGATCAAGAATTTATTTGGAATTTGAGTGTTTAATTTTGTACTTTTTATAAATATTATGACTACGAAAAAGTGTTTTGTTCCAGAATGTGATAATTATTCACATTCATCTTCAAAAATATTTATTAGTGTTCCTAGAAATTTGGAAAGAAGAAAATCAACCTTCTACTAGCGATGTTTCTCGTAAACTTTTTAATAAAAATACACCGGATTATCAAGATGTAGCAGCAATTTCTGCTAATTGTCCCCTTCAGGAAATTGAAAATGAGGCTACTATAAATTCTTAGGTGTATAACCTAAAAACCCTTCTGGAAGAAAATGCAGAATCTCCTGAAAGTTTTGAAGATACCGAATTTATTCATCATTTTGTGGAAGAACTAGTGATAAAAAATAATAGAAAAATGTGGGTATTTAAACAAACTGATTCCTGGATCCCATATAATGGCAGATAGGGGTTTCAGAATATTCAGCTACTTGAAAACATGGGATGCACTTTAGTAAAGCCACACCTAGTGTATCACAGAATGAAAAAAGTTCTCCAGAAGATGTACAATTAAGTAAAAGAATAGCATCTCTAAGAATACATGTGGAAAGAGTTATAAGAAGGGTTAGTTAATTTAACATGTTAAAACCACATTCGTGTGTGAATTTTAAGCAAGTAAATTTACTTAGTAATATCTGCATAATTGCTTGTTAACTTACAAGAACCTATTTTGTAAGAGTAAATATTAATTTAATAAATTTTGTTTGTTTGTTTTTTTAATTTAATTTACCTAATTATCACATTTCAGGGATTATAATGAGTTTTTAAACAGCCAATGTAATTTTTTATAAAATTTTAACTTTTCGAACAAATCCAAGAGGAATGAGTACCTGTATATGCATAGATTTTTTTAAAACTACCAAAACAAA